CCATTCTGGCTTTCACATCCCACCTTGGGCCAGTTGGGCTCTGGCTTTCCTGCACATGCCCCCATGTGTGGACACTGTTTCACATGATCAAGATCTGACAACTGATATGAATCTCATCTCTGTGGGAATGCTCTCCTCGCCCTGCTCTGACTCTGAAAGCCACAGATAAAATCCTTACTGAGAAGGAGGCAGTATCAGGAGAGTCCACGATGCTAAGTGTGTGAAATGCCTGTGGAACAGGCCACTGTCGTCTTTCCCTGTCTCTGCTCTGTGGCCATCTCCATCTAGCATTCTACTTCTAACAATTCTGCCAACCTTTTTCAGATCAACCCCAAAGATGAGAACATGCCATTCAAGTTATTTTTCGTTTTTGGGAGGAATCTATTCCTATTTGCTTTTTGTTACACCTCTCAGAACGATGAATTCTCTGGGTTTTATACCCCTCTGTGTGAAGCAGTCCTTCCTTTATTTCTTAAACTTACCTCATTAGGGAATTTTTTTTTTTTTTTGAGGCAGGTCTCGCTGTGTCGCCCAGGCTGGAGTGCAGTGGTGGAAACACACGACTCACTGCAGCTCCTCGACCTCCCAGGTTCAAGCAATCCTCTTGCCTCAGCTTCCCAAGAAAGTGGGATCACATGTGTACAACACCATACCTGGTTATTTTTATTTTTTATTTTTTTTAGACAGAGTTTCGCTCTTGTTATCCAGGCTGGAGTGCAATGGCACGATCTCGGCTCACCGCAATCTCCGCCTCCTGGGTTCAGGCAATTCTCCTGCCTCAGCCTCCTGAGTAGCTGGGATTACAGGCACGCGCCACCATGCCCAGCTAATTTTTTGTAGCTTTAGTAGAGACGGGGTTTCACCGTGTTGACCAGGATGGTCTCGATCTCTTGACCTCGTGATCCACCCGCCTCGGCCTCCCAAAGTGCTGGGATTATAGGCGTGAGCCACCGCGCCCGGCCAGAATACCTGGTTATTTTTTTAAATTTTTTGTAGAGACAGTCTTGCCATGTTGCCCTCTTTAGAGATTTTTAAAGGGCTATAATTCCAGAGTTTAAATAGTAAATCCATGTTCCTCTCATCTAATCCATTCATGATTTTATAAACTTCTCATATTTTAGTCTATCAACCTCACTCATTTTCAGTTTCCTTCTCTTTTTGCAATTTCCATTAATGTTCACTCTTTCTTTTCTCAAGATGCATCAATTAGACTAACACCAACTATTCCTGGTATGAAACTATATGGGTTTTATTTAAGAGTGAAAAAAAATACTTTTTTTTTTAAAGACAGAATCGTGCTCTGTTGCCCAGGTTGGAGTGCAGTGGCATGATCTCGGCTCATTGCAACCTATGCCTCCCGGGTTCAACCGATTTTCCTACCTCAGCCTCCCTAGTAGCTGGGATTACAGGTGCACACCACCATGCCCGGCTTATTTTTGTATTTTCTTGTAGAGACACAGTTTCATCAGGCTGGTCTCAAACTTCTGACCTCAGGTGATTCACGACTACCTTGGCTTCCCAAAGTGCTGGGATTACAGACGTGAGCCATTGTGCCTGGCCAAAAAATTACTTTCTGATTCCTTTTTAATCACTTCTTGAGAATACCTAACACTGGTACAAACTTGGCTTTTTTTTTTTTTTTTTTTGAGATGGAGTCTCACTCTGTTGACCAGGTTGGAATGCAGTAGCAAGATCTGCACTGCAACCTCTGTCTTACAGGGTCAAGCCATTCTCATGTCTCAGACTTCTGGAGTAGCTGCACCACAGGTGCGCGTCACCACATCCAGCTAATTTTTGTTAGTAGAGATGTGGTTTCACAATGTTGGCCAGGTTGGTTTCGAACTCCTGGCCTTAAGTGATCTGCCTGCCTTGGCATTCCAAAGTGCTGGTATTACAGGCATGAACCACTGCACCCAGCCAGCATTTTTTATTTACCAACGACAAAGGGTTGATAACCATCGGGAAGCAGATTACATTACTACCAGAGGTCCCTTTTGGTTTGTAATGGACAGAAAAATTAGTTCTGGGCTTTGGATCTCCTATACATTCATTTAAGCAGTCAGCTGCCTCTTTTCTAACCACTCATGGGACCTGGAGATTTTTCTGTAGTGTATGCCTTTTATCTTAACATTTCACTACTCTCCAGAGCCAAGCATTGCCCACAAATCTGTCACTCCTCAAGATTATTTACGAAGGACCAAGTTCACAGAAAGATGACACAAGGTCTTTTTTTTTGAGATGGAATTTCGCTCTTGTTGCCCAGGCTGGAGTGCAATGGCACGATCTCTGTTCACTGCAACCTCTGTCTCCTGGGTTCAAGTGATTCTCCTGCCTCAGTCTCCCGAGTAGCTGGGATTACAGGTGTGCGCCACCACGCCCAGCTAATTTTTGTATTTTTAGTGGAGGTGGGGTTTCACCATGTTGGCCAGGCTGCTCTTGAACTTCCAACCTCAGGTGATCCGCCCACCTCGGCCTCCCAAAGTACTGGGATTATAGGTGTGAGCCACTGTGCCAGGCCATCTGTGAATGCTAAATTACAGGCCAGCACTACCAGGGTACTATTTCTCTACATTTCTTTCCATCTCTAAGCCCCATTTATGACCAAGCCTTTCTCTTAGACTAATCTCAGGTGGTCATAATATTCTTTTTTTAATAGGAACCATCTAAAATTCTTTAAGGGTCAAATACTTAATGAATGGTTGGTTCCCTTTTGGCCACAAGCCTATTCTGTTCCACAATTCCAACAGATTTTTTCCTCCAAAACTCTGAGGAGAATAAATTTTGGTTAGGTTTTTCAAATAATAGTTTTATGTATCAGAATTTTTGGGGTAGAAACTCAACGTAGCTTGTGTATACAATAGTAAAATTACTAGAGAACATGAAAGCTAAAATATATATATAAACCCATAGTTAGGAAACAGAGAAAACCAGGGGAAGGAAATTAACTCTAACCACCTACTACTACGTGGTGAGTACTGTGTGAGGCACATCCATGTTATCTCAATTTAAAAATCCAAAGTTAGAGGCATGGGGTTGGGTACAGTGGCTCACGCCTATAATCCCAGCACTCTGGGAAGCTGAGGAAGAAGAATCACCTGAGGTCATGAGTTCTAGACCAGCCTGACCAACATGGTGAAACCTCATCTCTACTAAAAAATTAAAAAAATTAGCCAGGCATGGTGGTGGGCACCTGTAAACCCAGTTACTTGGGAGGCTGAGGCAGAAGAATCGCTTGAACCCAGGAGGCAGAGGTTTCAGTGAGCCCAGATAGTGCCACTGCACTCCAGACAGGGTGACAAGACAAAACTCTGTCTCAAAACAAACAAAGTTAAGAGGCATGAGCACTTCCCCCAATATAAATAAATAAATGCATAAGCGAGAGAGAAACAAAACAAGGAAGATAGCTGCTTCTCTCTCACCAGAATGCCTTGTAACTTTAATTCTGTATTAGTTCTCTGAGTCTTACATTCTGTACTGGCCAATAAACTCCACGAATTCCAAAACCATGTCTCACTCATCTAAATGAACCCTAGAGTATCTAGCTCAGTGTATGACATACCTATCTTCAGTTTAAACTTCTTAGAGGGCAGATTATAGTTCCAATTCACTAATGGGAAATCTGAGGCCCTGTGAAAGTTTTGTAACTTGCCCAGTGTTCACCAGTTAAACAAGCAGAAGCAATGAATGTACTACCCAGCCTCACCTGACTATAGTGCATCCTCTTTTAATTATGAGGTTTACCTTTGATTATTCTGAGTGATCAGGGAAACCGCAGAATCCATTGTGCCTAGGAGCTAGGCACAATGTTGATAATTTAATCTTAACAACAATACTAATAGGGAGTGCCTATTATTAAACCCATTGTACAGATAAAGAAATTGAGGCTTAGAAATTAAGTAAATTGACCAAGGAAACATCTAGTAACCCTGGAACAATGAAAATTTGATCCTCATGCTATGAGACTCTGGGTTTCTGCTTTTAATGACTTCCATGTGGAAATGACAAACACTATTACATGACTATCACATATACAAAGTGGCCTCAGAAAATTGGGCTTCTTTTGGCTAAGTTAGTAGAAAGGGAGAGACACTGCATCCAAACTGCAAGTGCACTTATATTCAGATATGTCATCCCAGTGCTTTGAGGTCACTGGAGACAGAGCTTTTTCTACAGAGCAGGGGTTCTGGTGGGATTCTGAAGCCAGTGCAAGAGGAGAGAAGGAAGAGCCTCCCATCTTCAAACAAGTAAGTCTCTTGTGGGACTTTTATGTAAGGTATCTTTTTTTTTTTCTTAGCAGAGCCCAAACATGATTAAACAAAAACTTAAAAAGTGCTTTGAGATGGAAGCCAGAACTGAAGCGGCCTACAGCAGTCTACTGTACTCTTCCTGGTATCCACTGATGGCATACCTATCTCTCTCTCTCTCTCTCTTTCTCCGTTCCTTGTTCATCAGAGTAGCAGATACTCCAACACCACTCTCAAGAGTCAGTAAAAGCTCCAAATCTATAGCCCAGATGCTACATACACACTTCACAGAATTTAGGTGGTCCTTACTGTTAGAGACTGTGAAAAGTGGAATCGTCTCTCTACTCGAGAATCATTGGGTAATTTGAAGATGATCTTGACACTTTCAGGGTCATCAGGGGAAGGTTCAGGGGGCAGGCATTCCAACTTCCTTTCCTTTTCCTCTTGTAAATTCTGCAGAGACACAAAGCAAAGGTTAGGGTATGGCTCAAGAAATAAATACAATGACCATGTAGCTTTATTATGTAGTCAGAAGAAAAATTAATGACTAAGTGTTCTAAGAAAAACCCCTTGGGAACAGTCAAAAACAACATAAATTCAAAGTATTATTGCATCTCATGTATGATTTATTGACTATGTCTTGGTATTTAACTATTTGAGAAAAAAGGAAAAGGGAGCAGGGTGCCGTGGTGTGTGCCTATAGTTCCAGCTACTTGAGAGGCCACAGCAGAACTGCTTGGGCCCAGGAGTTTTGAGGGTGTAGTATGCTATGATTGCATTAGTGAATAGCCACTGCACTCCAGCCTGGACAACACAGTGAGACCCATCTCTTAAAAGAAAAAAAAAAAAAAAAACATAGCATCACATAATATCCTGAGTCAAATAAAAAAATAAATAAAGAAGGACAAAAAAAAAAAAAAAAAATCCCAAAAAGGCCTGGCCCTGTGGCTCATGTCTTAATCACAGCACTTTGGGAGGCCGAGACAGGTGAATCACCCGAGGTCAGGAGTTTGAGACCAGTCTGACTTACATGGAGAAACCCCGTCTCTACTAAAAAATACAAAATTAGTTGAGTGTGGTGGCGCATGCCTGTAATCTCAGCTACTCGGGAGGCTGAGGCAGGAGAATCGCCTGAACCTCAGAGGCAGAGGTTGCGGTGAGTCGAGACCGTGCCACTGCACTCTAGCATGGGCAACAAGAGCAAAACTGTCTCAAAAAAAAAAGAAAGAAAAAGGAAATGGTTAAAAGACATTGGTTATAGGTAAGTGGTAATACATAATTAAACAAGATAATGTATGTCTCAGTCTGATTGCTAGGGAACAAAAACAACAAAACAAAAATAAAAAGATAACGAGTAAAACGCCAAATTAGCTAGTACTGGTATTTTTATTTTTATTTTTTTTTTTGAGACGGAGTTTCACTCTTGTTACCCAGGCTGGAGTGCAATGGCGCGATCTCGGCTCACCGCAACCTCCGCCTCCTGGGTTCAGGCAATTCTCCTGCCTCAACCTCCTGAGTAGCTGGGATTACAGGCACGCGCCACCATGCCCAGCTAATGTTTTGTATTTTTAGTAGAGACGGGGTTTCACCATGTTGACCAGGATGGTCTTGATCTCTTGACCTCGTGATCCACCCGCCTCGGCCTCCCAAAGTGCTGGGATTACAGGCTTGAGCCACCGTGCCCGGCCGTAGTACTGGTATTAAGAATGAGTATTTAGGGCCAGGCATGGTGGCTCACGCCTGTAGTCCTAGTACTCTGGGAGGCCGAGACAGGCATATCATGTGAGGTCAGGAGTTCGAGAGCAGCCTGGCCAATATGGCAAAGCCTGTCTCTTTTTTAAATTTTTTATTTAAAAAAAGAATGAATATTTAAATTGTATGAAAAATTTAAATAACCCATAATCCCAACATGTTCTAGTTTTTTCTTTTTTTTCTTAGTCTAAGGTGGCTATAATGCTTTCCTTTCACACTTAAGACCAAGACGGCATAGTCTTGGCAGTTTGGGAACCACAGGGAACAAAGCCACAGGTCCATTACCTGCCGCCGTCTCTCCTCTGCCAATTTTTGCTGTTGCACCTCTTCCTCCTTCCGCCGCTTACGCTCCCGCTCCTCCCGTTTCTTTCTTTCTTTTTCCTGGTCGGCCCTGAGAGAAGCCAGGTAGGCCTCATCCTGCTGTTGTCTCAGCACCTGGGTCTGGTTTCTTTCTTCCCTGTGAACAGATTGAAAGCAAGAAAAGAAAAACAGCACTCTCACAAAGTTCTGTTTTCTTATATTGAAATTCTCTCTCTCTCTCTCTCTCTCTCTCTCTCTCTCTCTCTGTGTGTGTGTGTGTGTGTGTAAAAATGTTGATATTCTTAGCAGATGACTATAAGAAAGAAAAAAAAAGAATGAAGGAGAGGAAGAAAGAGAAAGAGGAAGAGGGAGAGAGAACTGGGGTGTTGCTTTATTGCCCGGGCTAGAATGCAGTCTAAAAATGGGTATGCCTATAATTGTGCTTAATAATAGAGACATGAAAAAAAAAATGAGGGAAGAAAATAACCAACAAGCAGCAACCAATATTTCATTGAAACCTGTAGATAGATGTGATGTGGTACTGTTAAGAGTGTATATTTTGTGTATTTAAAGTGGAGAGTTCTATAAATGTTAATTAAGTTTACTTGTTCCGGATCTGAGTTCAAATCCTGGATATCCTTGTTAATTTTCTGTCTCATTGATCTGTCTAATATTGATGTTGAAGTCTCCCACTATTATTGCGTGGGAGTCTATGTCTCTTTATAAGTCTTATATATCTGGGTATTCCTGTATTGGGTGCGTATATATTTAGGATCTTTAGCTCTTCTTGTTGCATTGATCCTTTTATCATTATGTAATATCCTTCTTTGCTTCTTTTGATCTTTGTTGCTTTAAAGCAACTCCTGCTTTTTATTTATGCATTTATTTTTGCTCTCCATTTGGCTGGTAAATCTTTCTCCATCCCTTTGTTTTGAGTCTTTGTGTATCCTTGCATGTGAGATAGGTCTGGATGCAGCATACCGATGGGTCTTGCCTTTTTTTGCCTGTCTGTGTCTTTGGATTGGGGGATTTAGTCGATTTAAATTTAGAATTAATAATAATATATGTGAGTTTAATACTGCCATTTAATGTTAGCTGGCTGTTTTGCCTATTAGTTGATATAAATTCTTGATTATGTTGATGCTCTTTACTTTTTGGTATTTTTTAGAAAGGCTGATACTGGTTGTTCCTTTCTATTTGTAGTGGTTCTTTCAGAAGCTCTTGTAAAGCAGGCCTGGTGGTGATGAAATCTCTGAGTGCTTGCTTGTTCACAAAAGATTTTATTTTTCCTTCGTTTTTGAAGCTTAGTTTGGCTGGATGTAAAATTCTGGGTTGAAAGTTCTTTTCTTTACGGATGTTGAATATTGGCCCCCACTCTCTTCTAGCTTGTAGGGTTTCTGCTGAGAGATCTGCTGTGAGTCTGATAGGCTTGCCTTTATGGGTAACCCGACCTTTCTCTCTGGCTGCCCTCAGAATTTTCTCCTTCATTTCAACCCTGGTGAATCTGGCGATTACGTGCCTTGAGGTTGGTCTTCTTGAGGAATATCTTTGTGGTGTTCTCTGTATTACCTGGAGTTGAATATTGTCCTGCCTTGCTAGGTTGGGAAAGTCTTCCTGAATAATATCCTGAAGTGTATATTCCAACTTGGATTGATTCTCTTTGTCACATTCAGGTACACCTATCAAATGTAGATTAGGTCTTTTCACATAGTCCCATATTTCTTGGAGACTTTGCTCATTCCTTTTTATCCATTTTTCTCTAATCTTGTCTTCTCATTTTATTTCATTAAGCTGGTCTTCGACCTCTGATATCTTTTCTTCTGCTTGATCGATTTGGCTGTTAAAACTTGTGCATAGTTCGTGAAGTTCTTGTGTTGTGTTTTTCAGCTCCATTAATTCACTTATATTCCTCTCTAAATTGCGTATTCTTGTTAACATTTCGTCAAACCTTTTTTCAAAGTTCTTAGTTTCTTTGCATTGGGTTAGAACAAGTTCTTTTAATTCACAGAAGTTTCTTATCATCCACCTTTTGAAGCCTACTTCTGTTAATGGAACACACTCTTTCTCCATCAGGCCTTGTTCCGTTGCTGATGAGGAACTGTGATCCCCTGTCGAGGGAGAGGTGTTCTGATTTTGGGTATTCTCAGCCTTCTTAGGCTGGTTTCTTCCTTTCTTTATAGATTTATCCATCTGTGGTCTTTATAATTGGGTTTCTGAGTGGACGTCCAACTTGTTGATTCCCAGTGCTAAAATCTGAGCAACCCACTGTGCCGGCCAAAACAGCGGCATTATGATTGATGGTGCTTTTCTGACTCTGCACCAAGAACCGCTGCACCAAGGCAGTGGCAAAACCGCCTTGCCGGCCACAAGAGTCGCACTGGCGACCTGTGGGGCTCCTCTGCTGGGAATCTCCTGGTGCGTGAGCAACAAAAATTGATCTGAAAGTGTGGCGTCCTCTCGTTCTCTGCGCTTTCACTGGGAGCTACAATCCTGAGCTGCTAGTGATCAGCCATCTTGGATCTCTCTCGCAGATGACTATTTCACACTGCCATAAGGGATTCAAGAAGCAGAGCATGGCAGAATCTGAGTAAGTCACCTTTTTTCTCAGTTTAATTTGGCAGAAAAGTAGACAGCAAGCTTTCCTCTCTGCTTTTAAAATAAAACTTTTCCCCTAATTCTAACAAACGTAACACAGTACTGTTATTATGAAGGGATCATCAACATCATATTTTACATCAGCCCCATTTTGGGTTACTGCATTTTTGTACTGCTCTCATAAAACCAACACACACACATATATATCCATACAGATTGTAGCAGATCTGAAATATGTAGAGTTTTCAGAGTTATTCAGAGACTCAATAATCAAAGATAAAACACTGTAACATTTGGCATATCTATCTTCTCCCCAACAAATTTTTGTTTTCTCTTAGCCAAAATATTTAGCCAATCAAAACAGTTGAACAGATAAAACATTCTTGCTTTTATACTTTCTTTAAAAATTAAGATAAAATTTACATGCAGAGAAATGCACAGATCTTAAATGTACAATTCAATGAATTTTGATAAATGTAACCACATAACCACCACTTCAAGACTGAACATTTCAGTTACCTCAGAATGTTTCCTCTTCTATACATTTTTTTACGCAGTTAAAACAACACTTTATTTATAGGGTTCTGATCTTGCATTTTTCCTTTTTTTTGGAAACAGGGCATTGCTCCGTCACCCAGGCTACAGTGCAGTTGTGTGATCATGACTCACTGCAGCCTCAACCTCCTAGGCTAAAGCAATCGTCCCACCTTAGCTTACAGGTGTGTGCCACCACGCTTAGCTAATTTTTATATTTTTTGCAGAGATGGGGTTTCACCATGTTGCCCAAGATGACCTCAAACTCCTGAGTTCAAGTGGTCTTCCTACCTCAGCCTCCTGAAGTGCTGGGATTACAGGTGTGAGCCAACATGCTTGGCCTGATTATGCATTTTTCTAACTTGTAAGAAGCATTTCACGTTATTAAACCATTTCACGTTATAACATGAAGCATTTCATTTTATTAAAAGCTTCCCATAAAATTTAAGTTTGTCTAAATTTCTTGAGGGCAAATTGGCATTACAAATCAAAAGCTTTAAAATACATTTATATTATCTTACCCAGAAACTGCACTTCCAGGAACCTTAATTTTAATTTAAGGAAACCATCACAAATCGCAAACAAATTACCTCCATGTATGCTATTTATAATAGCAACAAACTGAAAATAATCTAAAAATCCAAGAGTGGCCTGG